TATTATAAACGTTGATGATGGAGTTGATACTCCGACTTCTGCGCCTGCCTCGGTTTCGAGATCGCATATGATCAAGGGGAGCTCGTCGAGTAGATTGAGGCAGTTTTTGCAAGAGTTAAAAGCTGAACCAGTGGCTAAAGCAAAGTAGTTTTCTCAGGAGTTGAAAGTTGAGCTAATCAGGAGGTTCTCTTTGAGTCATGGCCAAGCGGTGCGTGCGCTTTCCACTTCCACAACTCCTCCATACGGAAGTGGCGGATTTGACTCGGCTTTGGCAGCTCGCGCTCTGGGGAAGCAGAGAGCTCAACTCGACCAGACTATGTCTGGTGTGCAAAAGGCACTCCGTCGACTCAGGTTCATAAGCAATAACAAAGCCAAGGGGTTGGAATGTGGGATGAAGTTCAAAAGAATTTCGATGAGTTCGCTAAAGACGGCTTCCTTTATCGCATCGATTTCGCGCAATACATCGGTTGCTCTGCACAGTGCTTAAGTATAGCTTTCAAAAAGTAATTTCCTGGGTTTACTTTTCTTATATGATTTTTCCTTTCTCGTGGAGGAATGATGGATTCAAAGGAGTTTGCATTGGAACTGTTTGATGCATTGAAGCATTACAAATACTGGTCCCAAATCACCGATCAAAGTTTCGATTCTCGGCTCCAAATCTTCTACGACTGTAGTAGGCTCTAATTAATCAATCATTAAGTTTCAGTTTAATTATCCCACTTTTTCTATTTTAATGAAAGGTTTTTCAATTTTTTTAATAAATGTAATAAAAAAATATAAAAATTAATATTAATTTTAGTGTTAATATCAAATTAATAAATTTATTTAGATAACTGATAAATTAAAAATTAATTTTTTAATATAGATTTATAATAAAAAATATATTTATTATACTTTTAATATATATCATCAAAAGCACATGTTATAAAAACTCTTTAATAAAATATATATTACACTCCCCTAAAACTGACTCAAAAAAAGGATAAGGTCAGCTTTTGTGTGTTGCTGGTTTTTTTTTTTTTATGCAACATATGTATGTGCAAGTAAATAATACATTTTTTAACCTAAACTTAAGTTAAAAATATATTTATTGTATTTTTTAATAGTAATATATGTGAAAAATAAAAGTTAATTTTACTTTTATTAATTATCTAATTAAATCATTTTATCTAGTATTAATATTAAAAATAAAATTTATTTTATAATTTTTTATATAAATTAATAATAATATACAATAAATGTATTTTTAATCTATATTTTTAAGTGACATGTCATTGGAACCAAATTAATAATGATAGTTTTATTAACATGTACAAGGTGGACAAGAATGAAGATGGAAGAATCACAGAGGAGGAAGTAAAACAGGTGAATTAACTTAAATTCAACCTTTCTATGGTAGGATCGTCTCCACGTGTTCTTTATTTAGGCAAGCTAATTCCAGCCCATGGACTGGTTAAAGACAACATGTAAAGGCAATGCCACATAGGCCACTTAACAGATGGCGTGATGGAGCCCCGTTAGCACAGGCTAATTTGCTTCTATGGTCAGGTTTGAGGGCTTATTCACTACTTTTTTTAGTTCAGGGGCTGGTCACATATTATTGGAAAAGTTTAGGGGCTTAAGTAGGGGTTTTGCCAATATAACAAGGAATCCAAACGGCAGCCATAAGGAACGGTTTTCAAAGACGAATATAATCATTGATTTCCAAGTATTACCCAATAGGGATAGCAACAGGTTCCCACCGGGGCGGGGACTCCTTCCCCATCCTCATTCCCATCCCCATTTCCATCCGTCAATGACGAGCACGGGGATCCCCATGGGGATTTTTGGCGGAGGATCAAAAATAACCTCCGTCCCCATACCCGCGGGGAATGATAGGTTCCTACGGGTATTCGGAGTCCCCGCCAAATAAAACTCGATACTCATTTCTCATTTGAGAAATTAACTAAAGATAGAACGAATTAAGAGCTTGAATGAGCCTCAAAATAACAATACGATTATTGTTCGTTGCGACTATGAGAAAGAAGCTGCGCAGGCATGTAAACAACAAAAATTGCATTCTAACAATCTTGCGAACAATCGGAGGGAAAATGAAATTGAAAATAATAAGGCCAAAAGAATGAGATCTGCTTCACCTCAAAATAAATCATCAAGCACAGATACTCAGATACTCACAAATACTCATAACTTAGGCTCAGGCAAGCTGTAAGTAGCCGATTGAAGAATAGAAACAAAGCTATGGGCACTACTTTTTAAAGGTTGTCGAGAATGATATGTTGAAGGGAATTGACTGATTGAAGAACAGAAACAAAGCTAGTGAGCTACAGCGCAGAGGAGAGGAGATTGGAATCTGGAGAGGAGGCTGAAGTCTGGAGAGGAGGAATCGCAGAGCAGGTTTGCAAATCTCATAAATTTGAAATTGTCCTTCTAGTTCTAGGGTTACTAGCAAATTGGGTTGGACTTGGGCAATTAAGTTTAAGAAGATAATGCAAATTGGGTTAGGCTTAGGCAATTAAGTTTAAGAAGATTATGGGCTGGACTGGACTATAATATTGGGTTTGGAAAAACTGAAGAAAAAAAAAAAGGATTGGTCAATTAATTAGGTTGAGTAAGTAAAAATTAATAGTTAATATATTTAAAAATATAAATAAATAAATTTATTTTTTATTATTTTATATGGACCTCCATGGTTCTCCACTAGATGGAGGAAATTTCATGGGGAAAAAAATACCTCCATCCCCACCCACGGGGAGAAATATTCTCGGAATCTCCATCCCTGTGGCGGGGATATCCGCGAAGCTCCATAGGTCGCGGAGGAAATTGCCAACCCTACTACCTAGTATGGTCACTTACCATAAGGAAATCTCTATGAATCTTCTTACAATTCTCTTTCTTTGGACTTCTTCTGAGTCTCGTTAACTTTTGCAATGGAGTCCGTAACTCTATATAGATAGGGAGAGATGGCAAGTCCTCTTGGAGTTGAAGCAGGATCTGGTTGATCATGCAGGCCGTCTCGCCTCTTGGGTTGCTGATAATGGAGACTGTTACAGATGGAAGGAACTAGGTAGTAATCTCTGTCATAATTTGACCAGCCATATCCTCCAACTCCACCACCATGCTCCCCTCATAATGTGAACTTATATTTTGTTTCCATTTAGAGTTCTAATTGGTTAATTAGTTTTATTTCTTCTCAAGATACATTCTTATTATTATTATTTTTATCAGCAAAGAAACCTTTGTTTATATGGAGAGGGAGTGCGAGGAGATACATTCCTAATTAGATTTAGTTTGCTGTGCAAGTAATTTAATTAGCCTAAGATTTTATTTTCAATTAGAAGTCTTTGCTATTTCTATTTGGTTTTGAGAATTATAAATTTCTTTTTGAGGCCAATGGCCTCAAATGCTCCTTCTGAATAAAAATCATATTTATTTTATAATAGAATTTTCTCTATTTTTTATTTCAAGATTATCTGAATCTAAACTTAATTTAAACTTGTTTATTATCATTTCATTCTGCGTCATATTAATCCCACGAGTGGTGTAAAATGTA